TCATAATTAGATTGACTTAAGACACAGAGTCCGCCATCGGGTCGAAGGCAACAAAACAAAATTGTTGCTCTAGCGATAGAATCTATTAACAACATTGTATGCTGGCTCTTGTGAACTTTCTCTGTGTGTGTGTGTGTGTGTGCACGTTGCGTTCAATAACGATAACAAACAACAGGAAAATTGTTAAATTTATGTACGTGCGGTTCGTTTCTTTAAGGTGTCATTGAAGACACATCAACAATTGAACGATATTTTAACACGTAATTCCCGTTAGATTTTTTTTTTAAATATACAAGAGAGCAATCAACAGAACAGCAAGAAAAAAAAAAGGGAACAAGACCAGAAAGAGCAAAGTACAAAACGACCCCATCCGGAATAATTTTATAGCAGTAACAAGAATAATGAACGAATGAATAAACACAGAAGACAACACGTATTTATTAAAGCTGGCAAGTGACAATTGACCACACCATCGTCATGACCGTCATCATGGCTATTGCCAGCACCAACGTCGTAAATATATGAATTTGGGTTGCTTTTGTATATAGCAGAAAAAGAGCAAAAGTTAAGCAGCGAGGGGTTTGCTAACAAAAATAATGTTGTTGGTGTTGTTGTTATCGTTACGATGTATGCGACTCCCAGAGGATTGAAATTCGATACAATAGTTCGTACAAAGCCAATAAATTTTAGTTAAAATTCAAACATACAATGTAAAGGAGCTTTAACTGGTAGTAGTATGGCCAAGTGTGCGCAACGACGATGCGACAACTTGCATACAATATGCATGCGTGTGCACATAAACATGCCGACAAAAGTACAGGTAAATGCACACACTTGCATAAATCTATTTGTGTTCTTGTCATGGCAACTAAATAAAGTAACAATAACAACAGCTTTAACAACTAAATATCAGTGAAAGCAGAATAAGTACAATTTATCCTTTCGAGAATCAAAGACTGAGTCTGTGTGGGTGTGTGTGTGGATGAGATAAAAATGCATTTGAGGCAGATCGTTGTTACTTCATAGCTGCGATTGTTTAGATGTTTATCCTTCTAACAGACCGTTTGGTCCTTGACTTTTCAAAGGTTGACATCTTGCTTATGTTTTACTGTCACCGCAAGTGTTTTGAACACTTTTAAGACTATTCCGTGTTTGCTGTCAATACCAAGTTTCAACTTTCCTTTGAACTCTTTCGTACTATTCATAATTTTCTTTCTTTTTTCTCCCCTATCTGCAAAGCATATGTTCTTCTCTTATATGTACTATGCTTCTCAAAATTGTTCGATCTTCAAATTTATTTTCAATTCAAAATGATCGTCAATCTGAAAAGGAAATAAGCGAGAAATTTTGCGTACATTCATACATAAATATAAAAAGCTCCTCTTGTTTGAGGTTGAGATTTTCCTTAGCGAAGTGTAAAAGAAAATAGAAACATTAGATAATAAGGTTTTTTTTCTTCCATCACACGAAATAAGGACAGTAATTAAAATTCATTTGAATTATCTGAAGAAATTACGAAATTAAGGCTTACTATAGGGTTTCTTCTTCGAAAGAGCCCATATTTAAATTTTTTTTGACGTTATGTCGGGAAATATTTTCAATTTACTTTGCTTTCGTATATCGGCAATTCCTTTATCGTTGCGCAATCTACGTAAAATAGAGAGGTAAGATGTCGTCTCACCAAAAACCTTCGACGGATCGACACACTTCTTAATTAAATCGCATTAAATGAATATCTTGGCAAAGATGAATAGAAACAAGTAGGCCGGAGAAAATAGTATGGCTTGCAAATAGTGTGGAAAGCAAGTCTTTATTTGCAAAAAGGTTTAATTTTTATTATACACTTCAATAATACTAAGTTCAATATAAAAGTAAGGTGTAATTTTTTATGTTCCATGGCAAAAATAAGAATTCTCAAAATCACTCTCAACAGGGTGTAGTGTAACTAATAGTCGGCCTAACCCGACTATAATATTTTCACTTTTTTAAAAACTCCTCTTCTCAAGCTTAGTACGCATTCATGCATACGATATACTTACATATCTACCTGTGCTGATATCATATTAATACAATCTTAAATCTAAAAAAGTTTTAAAATCTTTTTAAATCTTTTTTTTGTAATTTATCATCAGTGCTAAGAGGGTTTCTTATTTCAGATTTTCTTCTCTGCTGTTCGTTTTCGTGAGTGACACTAAAGCCCAATACACAATTTAATATTTTAATGTTCAAGTTTTTCTTGGAATTTTTTAACAAAGCTTTCACAAGATTTCAAATTTTGCTTTGGCTTGCATTTTAATTTATTTGAATTAAAAGCAAAGTGCAGTCCAGTATTATGATGTTTGAGAAAATGGTGGTGGAAAGTGTTTAAAATGCGAAGCTTCAACAATGCACACTCGTTTCAGATTTAAAAACAAGAAAGAACAAGACCAACCAAGGACACAAGACGTCACTTCGCCTAATAAAGTTAGTCACACCAAACATTACGCATTATTTTCATGCAGAGGCATATTTTCCATCACATGACGAGATCAAAATTTAGCAGATTTAATTTACTTTCCAAAAATGTTATTATTTCTTAGTTTCCCTTATAAAAAATTACACTTCAAATTACACTTTCTCTTCATATAAGGACTTGCTTTTCATGAATGAAGAGTGAAGACAATTTTGGTATAATTAAAGGTGGGCCTATCTTAAGCCCTTCTGTGTGTTACGCCTGCGCAAATTTAATATACCTTACATCATACGTGATGTAGCGTATAATGAGTGAAATTTTCACAAAAATACAATCGCACAACAAATAAGTTAGAAAATTATATTTGGTCGTGACCGACCTTTTACACCCATCACCAATGAATGATTTAGGATAACGGTGATGGATACAAAAAGAACATTGGTTTGTACAATGAGCTGACATTTTTTCATTCATAATCGATTACTTATGTTATCTATCCAATTTTGGCAATAATATCGTAAACGCTTTGTTTTGGTTTCGTTCCCAGTTTTAAGAAAACTCAATTTCAAACAATTCTTGTGTCTCTGCCAAACATATTTTAAGGAAGCAATCACAAAGACGTAGAATCTGATTGAGGTGTATATGCGTATTAACTAGTATTTGTCATTATTTTATAGTCCGTGAAATAACATCAATTGATATCTAGATGAAAACAAACTTTTATTCTTTGTCATGACTGATTTTTTCTAATTTAAGATACCATTTTAGTAGACACATTTATTTCTTTCATATAAGAAAAAATTATAATAACAAAAATAGTTGTGTATAATAATAATTATTAGATGCCGCCAATGTTCTCTACAATAATTCCGCCTCTATTCTGCATACAACTTTTGTACAAAAGCTGCTTTAATATGATCTCTCTGTTTACGAATTATGCATTATTAGATGCCGCCATTGTTGAGTACAATAATTTCGTCTCTTTTCTATATACGGGTTTTGTACGAAAGCTGTTTTAATATTATGATCTCTCTGTTTATAAATTTCGCTTCTATTCTGCATATAACCTTTGTACAAAAGCTGTTTTAATATGGTCTCTCTGTTTACAAATATCTTGTTTATGCATTAGTAGATGCCGCCATTGTTCTGTATAATAATTTCGTCTCTTTTCTGCATACGTGTTCTGTATGCAAATTCTATATAAGGGTTTTGTACAAAAGCTGTCTTTAATATGATCTGTTTGTTTACAAATTTTTTGCGTTTGCATTATCAGCTACCGCCATTTTTCCATACAATAATTCCGTCTCTTTTCTGCATACGTGCTCTATATGCAAATTCTATATACAGCTTTTATACAAAAGCTCTTTTTATATGGTCTTACTCTTACGCATATCTTGTTTATTTATGCATTATTAGATGCTGTATAATTCTTATTTGGATTGTAAAAACATAGATATAACAGAATGCATTTTTACTACAATATCAATAGTATCTCTTCGCTGCGTTAAAGCCGAAGAGGTCAACTTTTTTTAGGGAGTTGGCAGAGTGCTCTGAGTTTTGCTCGCTCCTGCCACTTCTGATTAATTTTAGATCTCATGTTTCTTTTTTTCCTCTTTTCAGGTTTCAACCTGTCGCTCTTCTTTTACAATCCTGGAAATTTTTCATATTTTCTAAAATAATTTTTGTTTTCGAAAATTTGTAAAATTTTTTTTCAAAAGTAAAATTGTAAATAAAAAAAAAATGTTTTTGTAAATAAAAAATTTTCAAAATTTTTTTTGTTAAATATTTTCGGTAAATAAACTTTTTTTCTAAGAATATTTGTTGTTTTTGTAAAATTTTTTTGTAAAAATTTTTTGTAAATAAA